CATCGTGCGCTATCCGCCGTCTTCCCGTTTCTGCGCTCAGTAACGTCATCCGGATCCCATGCTCTCAGTTTCCCGTCGATACCGCGCGCGGAAAAATCCCTCGGCGCGCCTGCGGAATTTCGCCTCGAAGATTCTTCTCCGTCGAGATATTCCGGTCTTCGCATTGTCGCCGTAAGATGTACGCGAAAGTTGATTTTCGCGGGACAACCGAGCCGGAAAAATCAAAACGTCTGGCAATACGAAAAGAAAGTACGAGCTTTTTTTTTTTTTTTTTTTTTCCCCTTCGGAGCACCGATACGAAAACCGCGGAGCCGCGGTCGTTTCTGATACGATTATGGCTAGTACTTTACTCAACACCCTTTTGATAATACGGTACTTATATTTCATGCTTCAGCTCATTCCAAGTTGGATTCTAATGGAATTAATCGCCGAACAATAAGTACTCGAATGTCGAAGAATAAGAAGAAGAAAAAAAAAGAAATGCGAGAGCAGAAACGACAGTTAATGTCTTCTCGAATAAAGTTTCGTCTCGCATTTCAGTTAGACCTTTAACAGGTACTTTATCCAACGATATATCGCAATGTAATGTAAAGTGCAATACTATATGTTTATAACAAACATCTAATCTTAAATCGGCGAATGAACCGAGCGCTGAATCGATTTCAAATTTCCTGTAGATTCAAGTCGCGTTCTGCGCGCTTTCAGGCTCTAATCTAACATCGAGCGCCGTCACACCGAAGGGGAAGTTGCTAATTTTGTGCAAAACAGAGCGACCGGTGATTCCTGGTATCGATTATCGGCCGCGTCGGGCCGTGCGCTCGCAGAAAATCGGAGAAAACCAAGTTCGTCCGTCGTCGTGAGTCAGCGCGCGAGTTATACGGTGGGTTTATACGAAGGGGCTCGAAGGGGTGACCCCGGGCTCCTAACATCTCCCGCCCGTTCCGACGACGCCTTGTTTTACGAGTGGTAAACCAATGGCGGTGTCGTCGTGTGGGCTGCTTTGGGTTTCATTCGCTATCGATCGTCCGCAACGTGGCCCGCGCTTGTGTGTACGCACGGCCGCTTTTACAACGGGAGTAAACACCCTCCTCCGCTGCAACTCGGCTCGCCCGACTTGCATTTTTGTGGCGTTTTTTTATCCTCGCGCTTCGTTCGAATGCCTTTCGCATAGATGACGGCGATAAGACGGCGCCTTTATAGCATTTTTTTATTAAATTACACATGTAATATAAACTCGGGGTTTTTTTACGAATTTTTTATACACAGCTGTAAACAACGGTATCATCATTATATACTATATTACTGCGCTATCATAATTGTTTAATGGTGCATTATTATATTAATTCAATTGTATCTAATTACATATCTAATTCAATCCATTAAATCAACGCATAGACGAAATAACCACAGACGAAAATTGAAAAATTTCTTCATCATTTCAATTGTGCGAGAGAAAATCAATGATAATGATGTTTAGCGGTACTCTTAAGCATTTAAGCGCCGAGCAAATTTCAATGATTAACCAGACAATTAAATTTATCGATTTACTTTCACGTATTTTATTCATCCATTATTGCGTGGATAATTCACGGCCAGACGAAACGCGATCGAAGAACGTCGCGCTGCAAAGGTCCCGCAGGAGAAATCCAGCGAAAATAATCGTCAGTTTCTGCGAAATTCATGGACGCGCGATGTGGTGTGAACGGTAACGGAATATCACTAAATATTTGACATCGAGTTTTATTGAGAAGGTCGTAAATACCGTCTTCCCCGGCAAATGGCTCTCCTGCCCTTAATGACGTCATGCACCATACGTAAATATAGAACTTTTGTATATACGTAATAACGTCGTAATAAAATGTATGCAAGCTGTGAAATATACGCGGAATATTGACGTAAACGAAAACAATTCATAAATCAAAATACTATCCACGCTTGCGATATTAGTCTTCCTTATCCTCCGACGAGCACTGCGAGATTCTCCTGACCTTAATGCCTTTTTATTTCCCCCCCTTTTTTTTTAATCAAGCTTTACATCGCCGTAAAACTCGCTTATATTCTATTCTAGATTCAATTTGTATATATATTTCGCATAAATAAAGCTCCGTTCCTAATAATATTTCGAAAATCGACCGGTCTTCATGCATCAATCGCATTTTTATTCCGCAGCATTCGCGCACTCGAGCACAAACGCGTGAGCAATAATAAAATATGACTTAAACCGGTCGCGATTCTACTTTCGAAATACCGTATCGATC